TGTGACGCGGGCGATTAGTTTTTCCCTGGCTTCCATACCCGAGCCTCTGCAGGCAACCGTCTCTGCAGGCTCTGCTTCCTGTCCTCTGCCCTCGGTTCTGCCCCCACCGCCTGTAGGTGAGACGTCAGCTGCCCCAGCAAAGCCAGACCGGCCCTCAGCCAGAGCCTGAGGCTGGTTTCCAGGAGGAAGCCCTGCCCCTGCGGCCCTCCAGCTGCCACCTCGCCCCGGGCAATGTGGCCCCTGCCCTGTGGGTGCTGCACCCCAAGGCAGTGGACACTGACCCGACTGCCATGTACCGTTCCTACAGGGAACGGGCAGAGGTCTCCTTACACTTGTAAAAATAATACAGAGGAGGAACACTTCCTTCTACCCTCTTTGGTTCTGTGGCTGGGCTAAGAATTTAATGGACATAAAGCAGATTAATAGGAGAAAAGTATACAAATTTAATATTTTTACTTGTACGTGGGAGTCTTCAGAAGGACCATGAAGACCCCCCAGGAAGCCGTTAGGCTCCACAGCTTGTATGGAAAATGTGGGTGTGTGGGGAGGCGAGGGGCTTGGGCTTGGGCCAGCGGCAGGGAGCTGTGGGGCAGTGAGCCGTGGGGCAGTGAGCCGTGGGGCAGGGAGCCGTGGGGCAGGGAGCCGTGGGACAGTGAGCCGTGGGGCAGGGAGCCGTGGGGCAGTGAGCCGTGGGGCAGTGAGCCGTGGGACAGTGAGCCGTGGGGCAGTGAGCCGTGGGGCAGGGAGCCGTGGGGCAGGGAGCCGTGGGACAGTGAGCCGTGGGGCAGTGAGCCGTGGGGCAGGGAGCCGTGGGGCAGTGAGCCGTGGGGCAGTGAGCCGTGGGACAGGGAGCCGTGGGGCAGGGAGCCGTGGGGCAGTGAGCCGTGGGGCAGTGAGCCGTGGGACAGTGAGCCGTGGGGCAGTGAGCCGTGGGGCAGTGAGCTGTGGGACAGGGAGCTGTGGCACAGTGACCGGGGAACACGTGGAGGGAAGGAACGGAGAGCCGGCCCTTTCCTAGGTGGGTTTGTACAGGTCCATTCCAGGGTTGTTCCCGGGCCCTGGTGATGGGAATGTCCTTCTCTTCCTGGTGCCGGAGGCCCCTTTCCCGGAGGAAGTGAGTGGACCTGCGTTTGGGTAGAGCGAAGACCTCTTCCCGCTCGTGGTCCGCTCACACTAGTCAATATGCCACAGTGATGTGTTTGGGGGAGCATGTTCCGAACCCCTTCAGTAACAGTGTTCTGATCTCACGCTTGACGGCAGAATCCGACCTCCCCACATTTCAGTTTGCAGGGAAACTGAGAGGAACTAAAAGCAGTAAAGAAGCTGCCGGAACTTCCTTTGCAGGATCAGTGCAGACTCGCGGGGCCCTGGGCCCTCTCTGGTGGAGGCGCAGTCCTCCCGGGGCGCCAGCTCAGGGGCCCCTGCCCTCCGGCCTTCACCAGCCCCCGGAACACGCATGCAGCCTGTCCCCGCTGACAACCTCTGTGTTCGAGTCCCAAGTCCCCTTGGCATCCCCCGCTTATTAGTGGGGGCAAAAACTCCAAAATAAAACACGATCCAGTCATTTACCTTAACAAAAGATTTATTTGAAACAGGTTTGAGCAGACATACACCAGTCAACAGGATTGATCAAAGCCACAAATCACTACATTTTCTGAAAATACAAGTAAATGCCCTTCATTTGTGTTCACTCCAGGAGGGGAGCCGGCTCCGCTATAATGTGCTGCTGTAATTTAAGAACCAGAGGACATTAATAGGACCTGAAAATGGCAACACTTCTGGAGGGAGGGAACAAAAACCCCCACACTCTGCCAACGTGCTCACCGCTCTGCTGGGAGCCAATTAAACGTGCCCCCGCAGCCCCGCAGCCCCGCAGCCCCCCAATCCCCCACCCCCGCTCCTCTCTGCATAACCAGATTAAAACCTCCCGTCAGGAACGATATTTAAGCAATCTGAGCACAGCTGTGACAGCAGACAGGAGAGCACATGGCTGGCTTGCCTGAGAAAGACGCCACAAAGATGCTGCCTTCCAACAGCAACCCAGTGACCCGCAGGAAGGGTGACCCACGGAGGCCGGCACCGGCTGCTCCCCGCTGGCCCCGTGGGGGCACCCCTGCAGCAGGCCCGCCTGCAGCGGCTCTCATGGCCCTTCAGAGGGACCCGAAGGCAGGCAGCACCCACACTCCTCAGGGCAGCAGGGCCGGGCAGCGTGGGGGAGGGGAGCTGGGTGAGTGTCAGGTCAGCCCTGGCATCGATTTTATTAGTGAAACATCTCAGCTCTATTCCCTTGCCCGGCGATCCGCTTGGAAGGAGGAATGCTCTAGACAGGGCAGATTTTCTTCCGCAGCGTTGGTGTTAGTGTTGACTGATCCGCCTGCCCCCCAAGAGACCTTCGGGATGACCGAATCCGATCCCGGTGGAAGGGGGTTCACATCCTGATCTTCCGGCTCTCTCCTTTCTGGCCCTTTTCGACGGAAGGACTTGCCTATAAAAGGCTCTTGATAAGCTCTCTTGACCCCTGAGTTTCCTGGGCAGCGCTATTTGGATAGCACTGTTACTTCAACTTTCTTCTTCCTATTTCTGTCATAAATCAAAGCTACCTGACACTTTGTTCCTGACTTTTCAAACGAACAGGTCTCCTTCCTTTCTTTAGCCAGGTCAGAAGAAATGCCGATGGACTGATCGTGTGTGTTTTTCTTGGTCTGACGCCTGGGAGAAAGAGCAGAGTAGATATCTCTAAGGCAACCAGGGCGAGAGCTTGTCACTGGAAAATGAGCCAGGCTGGGCGTGAAAAGAATCATTCTTTTGTGTCCCCTCGGTCAGGGGAGCGGTGGTGTTGGCCGGCGTGCGGCTACGGATTCGGCCGGGGTAACGGTGAACTTGCCTCTCTCTCCTGCTCCCGTGTCTCTGTGGCTTCCGGACACCTGGATTCACGCTGGTCCCACAGCCGTTCCTTCCCCCTGAAGACTGTGCCCCGGATCACAACTCACTCACCCCAAACACGAAGACAGCGTTTCTCACCGAGGACTAGTCTGAGCTTTGGCATTGAATAAAGCTGCCGTGGGGCGCTTTGGGGCGCTGAGAAAAAATGCACGAAGAGGCAAACGTCAAGCGGGGTATTTCAGGTCTATTCCTTCCGGGGGTACTTACTCACATATCATTAGGGGGGGTCTACGACCCACGGAACCCCAACTGTTCTCCTTGCCCTTCGGGGTGGACAAATGGCTGGGAGGAGGCTCAGGACTCTCCCCCAGGGCTGCCCGCAGCCCATGAAGAACCCGTAACAAAGCCAACAACTGGTACATGCACCCCCTTTCTGCGGGGCTTTATTTTCACCATCACCGCTTGTGTTCGCCAATTGAAGCATTTGCATAAAGAATTTAGTGACTATGATGGGGGCTGCCACCTTCTGACTTGACCTGATAAACGCATTTCTCTGCCAAGTTATTACTTCAGGCTCTGCTTAGCCATGACCAGTTTCCCTGGTCACATTTTTATGGATCCCAGGAGATGAAGGCTACATTTCAAATGCTGCGGCTAAATCACTCCTTGAATGACGTTGGGACAATGACCCTGGGCAGTAATTCAAACCCTGGCTGAAATGTGTGTGGTTTTTTTTTTTTTCACATGTTCAACACCAAAGACAACCTCGTCCCAGAGCAGAGTTTTGTAAACATTCTGTCCAACTTACAGTCTAAGACATAAATTCCGGGGAACAAGAATATGATAGAATGTTCCCTTCCCAGGGCTCAAAATATAAGATAAAGGGTCATTGTTATAACAAATGGAAGTTATAGACTATAGTTTTATTTCTCCAAAATTCAACCTTAAAGTCTGTAATATATACATCCATATGCATTTTCAGATGTTAGTTACCTACACTCACTTTTTTTCCCATTATTCACTGCTTCTTGACAAGTTATTACTGATTTTCACTGCCAGCTCCCTACAGCAAGACCTAAAGCCTTGTCAAGGAAAAGAAAATGTCAACAGAGCTCTCAGTCTTGCTCTGCTGAAACCCAGGCTCACGTGTTAGGATATTACTCCACAGGCGTTAAAGAAACACATCTCCTCTCTCCAAAGCGCAGGTCCTGTCTGCTGCACAGACCCAGAAAAGGCTGTCACGTGTGTGCATGTGTGTGGGAGATGACAGAAGGTACCACTGGTCAGGAAGCCTGGAATATTCTGCCTAGAGACAGGATAGACACATCAGCCACATCCTCCAATTATGACAAAACGCATTCTGGTCAGCAAGGAAGTGCTGAGCCAGACAGCCAAGGGGAAACGGTGGCTTTATTCCGCTCTCACCTCCTCCCCGTTCAGCGTGCACCTCCCGCAGCCGCCCTCGCCTGCCGTGCGGCTGGAGCTGAACTCAGACCCAAGTGCGCCGGGCGCCGCCTCACTCTGCAGCCAGCAGAACGGGGCCTGGGCTCAAACGACAGTCGGCAGCCGGCCTGTGCGTAACACCAGACCAGACCGAGGCCGAGCCTGGGTGGATTCCACCCCTTCAGCCCAATCCACAGGCAGGCCCTTAGTGCTGACCGACTGCGACCTGCCAGCCCGTGTGTCACTTACCATGTGGCAGAGTGACAAGTCCCATGTGGCATTTCCACTGAGCTGACAGCCAGAGCATGCAACTTAGTCCGTCTACCCTGCTCCCTGGGGAGGGCTTGTGTGCGACACTTTGACCTCGACTTAAAGATAGGACAAATGACACAGCCCCTGAGCCGGCCCTGTCTAAATATTCTACATCACACGGTGACAGCTGCTCCTCCTAGAAACCCAATTTAGCCATTTGGCTACAAGATAGCTTAATTGTGTCAGAGAAGAAATAGAAAGGCATCCCATCCACTGTTTTCTTCTTGGTGTGTAAGTTCATTATTGCAAAGACTGTTTTGTCTACTTCTCAAGAAAATTGGAAAATCTACTTAAATCTCAGAAAATTGAAACTGTATTTTAATGCAAATAATAAAATAAAAAACAGAAAGCCCAACACACACACACTCTCTAATTCACAAATATGATTCAGAAGGCTTCAAGTTCAAGAGAGAGCTAAGTGTTCGACAAATAATTGACTTCTAGTTGCCTCTTTCCAAACGGGCTTAGTCCCAAATGAAGCCAAACAGTCAGGATGCCTAACACATTCAATTCTCACTTTCATTTTCCCTCTGTGTTTAGACCATTATCTTTCTGGGTGTGCAGTAAGAATATACACCTTAGTTTGTGTTAATTATTAGACTTCCCCCCCCTGTAATTTCAGCATGACAGTCCTTCAATCATTCATCTCACTGGGTGCTGCAGTCTTTAAACGTCTCATCACCTGGGCAGGAAGGTGTGGCAGCTTCTGAGCCTTACCTGTGAATTGCATGGCCTTACTTCCTTACCCTCCAGCCCTGGATCCTGGTCACCTCTTAAGTGAGGGGGATTCGTTTTCTTAGTTGATGCAAATCATAATTATTTCAATGCCCAATAAGCTGTAGATGTTCCAAAAATAAAGGGTTAGGAAGCAAAGTGCATTATTGTTCTATTTCCTAATTTAGCACAGCCATTCCCAGAGGAACTGTGCCGTTGTAACCAGTAACAGCTGCCCAGAAGTATTTATGTTAAGCCATCCAGAAATCTAGTTTGGCAACCAAAGCAGAGAGGAGAGAACGTGCCTCCAGGCTGGTCGTTTACTGAGGGCTCCAGGTGCTCACATGACCGCCCGAAGGCATCCAGGTTCTGTCCAAATTTAGAACAAGGGACTCTGCAGTTTGGAAAGTCAGTGACTTCCCTTCCTCATCTTAGACTCAGGACTCTTCCTACTGTGAGCATGCCTGTACCTAACACTGACTCAATAAGGAAGGAAACCTTGTCGATATTTTTAAAAGGGCGGTGAAATGTTTGGGATTCTTTTCAATTAAAACTGCCTGTCAACATCTTGTTTAACCTCCTGGACACATTAGGCTGGTCAGGACAATGGTCTGGGCTTCGGGGCTTGATTTCGGAGTTTCTGCTCAGACTTGTTGGGAAACGTCCTCTGTGCCCTTCTTGGGTGTCTCCGTCCTTGCGTCTTGCTTTCTCCTGCCACGGTCGTCCTTCACCACACTAGGGCCTCCTCCCTCATCTGGGTTTGCACGTCCTCTGTGGCTCTGGAGCTAGAGCGACAGGTGTGTTCCTTCGCCGGGAGATGTGCCCTCAGCTCCCCAAAGGACCAGCACGGGCCGACGTGAAGAGGATGCCGCAGGTCCAGTGGTCTGGAGGCTGGGAGCTGAGTGCTGAGCTTGGCCGGGGCGGGGTCTCCACCACCGCCCTGGCTGCAGGCTTCCCTGTCACCAGAGAGGGGCAGGTAACCCTTTAGGACAAAGGGGGAAGAGCTGCTGCTTCTCTTTAGTTCTAGAAGGAAAAGGCGGGGGAGGAGGGGACCCCTGCACCTGGATCTGCCGAGGAGGAGGAAGAGCGGGGACTCGGGTGGTGGCCCACCAGCGGCCATGCACTGCGCACAGCGGCCAGCCATGCAGAAGGTCCGAGGACGGGGAGCCTCGGCGGCACTGGGACAACCGGGCCGGAAGCCACCTGGACGGGTACACCTGGGGAACACCGATCGTCTGCCCCACTGGGAATGTGGCTCAGAGGTTCAAATCCACGCTCTCAAGTCTCCCACCCAGATACATGTATTTGTGATTTCATTGCAATCCAGAAGTTTATGCCAGTGTCACACAAACAAAGTAGGAATCAAAGCAAGACAGCAACCTGCCTGAAGTGAAGTTTACATGCTGCCCCGTGGACGTCATCTGTGGGGTAAGACAACAGGAAGCACGTGTCTGGGCTCCCCACCGCAGACGGGTTCCTCACGCAACACAAAACTCTCATCTCTGCTCCCGGGACGACTAGTACTGATGTTTAAATACTGGTGAAACATAATGTTTTTAATTTCACACCTCACGGAGCACAGGGGAATGCGTCATAACAACGTAAACAAAAGTTAGGCCAAGCACTGCAGACACACTGGGGGGGAAGAAATGGCTTCCCCGCGGGATACACCCCAGGTTTGCCCGGGAATATGTCACTGACGAACCGGCTGGCTAAGGCCACGGAAATGTGTGTTCTCGTGTTTTGGATGCTGACACCAGTCTCTTCTGACAGATGTGTTCACACTGGCTGCACAAACCGCATTTCTTCCGTAGATCAGTCCGCAGAACTCGACTCAGTTGCTCCTCGATGTCAGGGCTTACTTATGACTTGCTTTCTTCCTGGTGGTGTCATACGCCCGGACGATTTCCTCCTGAGACACAGCTCCGTGCTCTTCTTGAGAGAAGGCGTAGCCATCTGAAAGGCACACAGGAGGCGGGGTTAGGGCAGAACTGGGGGAGTGCGTCGGGCTTGGAAGCTACTTTGGGGAGATGGCAGTGGAGCTTACACACGTGGGCCTCATTAGCCTTGGGTGGGCGGGGTCTGAGACGGGAGCCTGAGACCCAGAAGGGGAGTGTGGGCAGTGTGGGTGGGTGGTGGCGGGATGCAGCCTGGCCCGCCGGGTCCCAGGGGTGCTGGCTGCTGATGCTGGGATGGGGTTGGCTCTGAGGGGTGGCCTCCCATTTCGGGGCTGCAGCTGAGCTCAGCCTGGGAAGCGTGAACAGTGGGTCACGGGTCCATGTCCGCACTACCCCACTGCCAATCAAGTTGTTCTGCCCGGAGACGTCCCGATGCGCCTGAAGCTGCCACCGCCGGTGAGGCTGGAAACGCGCTGGGGACGCGCACCACGCTAACAGTGCGAGCGGGCCAAGGGCGCGATGCCCGGGGCCCCCGTTCACACGCTGGGCTGATGTAGGCGGGCAGTGAGAAATCTCAGTGGGTTTGTTTTGGGGTAAACAAAGAAAAAAATCACAAGATAAAGGCAAGAAGAATTTAGTGATTGGCCCCATGGCCACAGGAAGAATGGTTGTTACAATCAGTTCCAGTAATAATAATAATAATAATAATATCGCTATCATTATTATAGTGATAGCAGCAGTAGCCAACAGTTATTGAATGCTGTATCAGGCACTGTTGTAGGTACTGTGCACAAATAACTCATTTATTCCTCCCAACAACCCTATGAGATAGGTGCCAGTATTCTTCACTGATGGGAAAACAGCATGGAGTGATTTCGTGACCCACCCAAGGTCACAGGCCTAGAGAGTGGCGGTGCGGAGCCGGAGCCAGGCAGCGTTTCTGCGGGGCCCACACTCCCCTGCATCGCCAGTTCTCCACAGTGAGCCCAAAGTGGGGTTTTCCTTCCTAACTGAACTGGTTCTTCCATAGAGGGGACAGTTACCAGACCCCCTCTCTGTTGGCTAACCTTCTGGGCCGGGGAGCAGAGAAGGCCTAGAGCTGGAAGAGACAGTCTGACCACAGACAACGCAGTAAAAAGCCCGACCAAGGTGCTCCCGCCTGCCTGTGCGTATGTGACTGGTCGACAGAGCTGCAAGTGAACTGTCATTGTCTTTAAAGGAGAAAAAGCAACCAGAAATTCTGCCCGTGCACCATCTCCGGGATTGTTCATTATTTTACTCAGGCTTAAAAAGGAGCGTCCTGGAGTGTGAAGACCCACAACAGAATGTGTAAGAGCTCCGAGGGGACAGAGAAGACTTCAACAGATTCTCAGGCGCCTTCTTACTCTGTGGATGCCCTCAGACTCGGGGCTCTGACCCTGGGCCGCTTCCCAGTTCCTCTGGATAGTGTGCCTTTCAGCCACCGCCTGGGAGAACCCAAGGGCTCAGGAGGGCCACCCTGGGAGACCAGGGCCGGTCTTCAGAGGCGGGGCTGGGAGCCGACTGTGGACACGGCTGGGCAGCGGGGAGCGGTCGGAGCGAGGGCGGGAAAGCAAGCCTGACCCAGAACAGAGCGGTCTTCCACAGGGGCTCTTGTTCACTCGCTACCCCCCCTAACAAAACCAAACCCACAAACCCCAAATCCCAGCCTGTGCGGCAGCCAGAGGAAGCAGCCACCGCAGGCCAGTGTGAAGCCCGCCTAGCGGGGTACTGAGCAGGCAGGTCTGGAGCAGGGATGCAGACGCAGCCTGCAGGAGGGGCTGCTGGCTGGCTGGGCTCCTCCTCTGACCTGCACCAGGTGAAGCCCAGGTCCTCGCAGCTCTGGGTCGCCGTGTGGCCTGGGGGGCTGGCTTACTGTCCCCAGGCCACAGAACCCTTGCCTTCGTTCGGGGCTGACACTAGGCACCGGCGGGAGAGCCCTGTACCTCCACTCCAGAAAGGAGCCTGTCTCAACAATCAGTCCACAGAGAACGACTGCTACTCTCTGTTTTGGATATTTTTTGAGGGGGGCGGAGACAGTTAGATGGGAAGGAAGGAAAGGAACTTGTTGAGGCAGAAACATTGTTTGGCAGTGTCCTCTGGGAAAGGCATCTTAGCACTGGGAATTGTATACTTCCTAGCCAATGGAAGGAGCAAAAATCTGGCCTTTTATTTACTCCATTTTTCATTCACATCCTGCCTATGTCTACTGGGAAGCCAACTGCAGTGGTTTCTTCTGCTTGTAGCCGGACGGCGCCCTCGGCTTCTATCTGCCTCACTGGCGAGAGCGCCCTCCAGGGGGATTACTCAGCCACTCTGTTTCCAGCAAAAGAGGCAGAGAAGGCTCCTGGTCCAGCAGCAGATGTCTTCTCTCGGGCGAGCAGAGCACCCAGAGGCCACTACCCAGCGGTTTCTCTGCCAGCTCCCACTGGCTGCATCTGCTATCATGTTTCCAAAAATGTTGCGCACTAAGACTTTCTGAACCAGACTTTCCTAACCTCAACGGAGGCTTCAAGTGGCTGTTGCAATTCAAGAATAAAAGGAGGCTGGCCCATAGGACTATCCTGGGGGCGGATGTGTCTCTCGGGCTCAGATAAAATATTTCCCTCTTAGAAACCAGGTCTGGCGAGAGCTAGAGTCACACTGGAAGAAGTTTTAGTGGGACAATAGCATTCGTGAGTCCCACGTGGGGCCTGCACCCCTCAGCCTGACAGAGACACATCCGTTCACCAGCTTCTGTCTGATGAGCATTAACCTGCCACTGGCATCCGACAGGGAGCTCAGAGGACGCCTCCAGCTCCTAGCATTTCCCGCTCTCATGCATCTGTCAGGAAGTCCTGACGGCCAGAAGGCGCTGATGGGGCCTGGAGAGCGCGCTCAGCGGCCCAGCTCCGAGCTCTCCCTGGCTGGCCTCCTGACGCACCTGCCTCCTAAGTCCTCAGCCGCCGCTGGACTCTGAGCACAGGGTGGGGTAGGTGAAAGGAGATGGAAAGTGGTGAATTTCTTAGTTATTTTGACCAGTAGGACATTTGGTGAAGTCTATAAAATCATGTTGTTTTTTTCATTGTTTTGGAATATAACTCCCCTTAAGCAGCATTCTTTTGAATCTGAGCTCTGATCGCATCTTTTTTTATTAATTTATTTTATTTTTTTCCATGACTGCTTATCCTTTCTATACTCTCTTCCACCTCTACCCGCCCCCTTCCCTCCCCAATCACCACACTGCTGTCCATGTCCAGGAGTTCTCTCTCTCTCTCTCTCTCTCTCCCCCTGAGGGTGTGGAGAAAAGGGAACCCTTGTGCACTGTTGGTGGGGGTGCAGACTGGTGCAGCCACTGTGGAAAGCAGTATGGAGTTACCTGAAAAAACCTGCTAACATCTTAATGAAAGTAGCAGTTTCCTGCCTGGAAAAACATTGCTAAGAGCATAGAAATGGGGACACTGTGGGACAAGGGTAGTAGACCACGTAGGAGACACTCGTCTCCGTTACAAACACTGCGTGTTGGTGGTTCATGAGGAAGCAAAGGTACTTCCAAGATCAGCGTCTTTTCCCCAGTTTCCTGGGAAGACAGGCCCAGGACAGCTGACGACGGACCCGGGGGACATGCCGGGCCCAGACGAGCCCTGCGGGACCCCTCACGTGCCAGGAGCCGTTGCAGCTGCTCGATGGCCTTGCTCGTTGTCAGTGACAGAGCGTCCCTTTGCCAGCCAGGTCTTACTACTCATTTCTGGGTGCTTTGGAAACGGGGTGTGATTTTTGGAAGCCTTTTGATTTCCTGTACTTGTTCATTAGAGCTTTTTTGTCCTTCAAAATAGTGGGAGTTCATCAAAATGTTCAGTCGTCGTTCTAAGACATTTTGTGACTCCCACAAAAGTTCTCTCTTGGTCTTTGATCTACACAGTTGACTCTTGGAACAATATAGGTGTGAACCGTGTGGGTCCACTTACATGTACATTGTTTTCAACAAACACTGTAAATGTATGTTCTCTTCCTTATGATGTTGTTAATAACATATCCTTTTCCCCAGCCTACTTTATTGTAAGAATACAGTATCTAATACATGTAACGTACAAACTGTGTGTCAGTCAGCTGTTTGTTACCAGGAAGGTCACAGTAGTTACTTTTGGGGGGGTGTCACTTTCAACCGGGGTGGGCACCCCTAACGCCGCACTGTTCATGATTACTGCGGTCCCTCTGGGGCAGATGCTGGAGCGGCAGCGGGGCCCCGCGCACGGAACCGGAGTCAGGGACCCAGCATGCGCTTCTCTGGGCCTGGTCCGGAGAAGGCGCTTTACACGCCTCATCATGAAGCCAAGGACCAAGTAAGTTTATGTTATTACAATTCTGTTTCCCCCAGGGGATAAAACGAGTTTAGAGAAATATGTAAGTTGCCCGAAGTTACCCATCTAGTGGTAGAAAAACAACAACATTGTGATACGCATCTATTGGACTCTATTGTCAGGCACCGTTCTAGCATTTTATGATCTCATTTAATCCTCCCAACAACCCAGGTGGTTCTCAAATGATCTCCGTCTTACAGATGTAGAAACAGAGAGGTCAACTTGCCTAAGGTCACAAAAAAGTGGCCCAGCCAGGACAGGGCCCAGGCAGCTCAATCCTTGGCCTACCCCACCAAGCCTCCCGACTCGACCTCCCTCTCAGGTCGGAGCCACGGCAGCTGTGACCCTGATCAGGGGCCCACGCAGGGCCAGTTACTGTCCTGACCTGGGCCTCTGCCAGGTGCCCTTGGGCTACCACCACCGCCCTCCTGAGGCAGTGCAGAGTCAAGGACACAGGAGGCAGGTGAGGCCCCCCGGGAGCTGGCCTCCATCCCCTTTGTCTCAGGCTGATGTTCCAGTGGGAAGCGAGGAGAGGAGGGGGTTACTGAGAGGGACGCTATTCCATCCTTTCCTTCCCACGCCACCGAGGGAGTCTGGGAAGGTCTACTGGCAGGTGGAGCTCATTGAAACCCGACACAGGTCCTTGAATTTCTGTCCTATGGATACAGTGATTCTTCATTTTTCCTCAACTGTTCTCGCTCTACCTCTTGTTTCCTTCTTACCTTCCTGGGGAGAGAGAGGGACGCAGGGAGCTGGGCACGTGTGAGAGATGAGTGTGGGCTAGAGAGAGGTGGGTTCAAGAAGCAGGGGCTGCCAGCCTGCAGGCTCTGTAACACCACCCCCCAGCTGGGAGCCCAGAGGCTGGTTGGCTAGAACAAGCCCCGAGCCCTGCAGGCACCCCACCTGCCTCCCACGGCCTCCCCTCCTCTGGGTTCTAGTGCAACCCAGGGGCCCTGCGCAGGTCAGGCCTCTTCGGTAGAAACCAGGCGGGGGTGGGGACACCATGCTCGGCATGGGACAGCCTTCCGGGGAAAAGCACAGAGATGTCCCCCCAGCGATTGGTATTGTTTTAATTAATATACTAATATTAAATAAAACTCTGCATATTGCTATCTTTGAGGGAAACAATTTAAAAATAACATCACTTCAATCTTAGAAAAAATGCTATTGGGAGGCTGACAGAGGATCTTAACCGCACCAGGGTTTGAAGTTTAAGGATTCTGTCATTCGGGCATTTGATTGGGTCCCAGGGAACTACCTACAGTCAAGCTGCACTCGCCTCGGGCCAAACACACACATTCCGCTTGCAAACGGGGCTGCAGCTTGGCAGCTGGCTCCTTCCTCCTCACAATGGCCAGGCCTTCATTAACTCCCGCCTTCCGCCTTCCTGCGTGGGCCGGCCTGGCTGGCTGGCTGGGCTGCGGCTACTTACGCGGGACATTCTGCGGGAGGGAGCCTCCTCGGAAGAGAGTGGGGGTGGTCTTCCTGCTGAGCCGCTTTAACAAGTGGTCCCGCTCGTTCATCCTGCAGGGAAGCAGACAGGGTCACAAAGGTGCTCACTGCGCGCCTTCAGGTTGTGAAATAACACAGAAGAACGCGTCCGTCCCCACACCAAGAGAAATGTCCCGTTTCGCAAGCGGCCTGCTGCCGACGGTGGCTGCCACCTGGGGCTCGCCCCCTCTTCTGAAGGGCACTCTGTTTCAGCCCGGCCTGCTGTGCCTGGCAACGCGCTTCCCCTTCGCTGAAGTGCATCTGCTACAGGTGCCCTTTCACACCCCGAAAGCCCGCTTCCCGAACACCTCCGAAGGAGTGACCCGTTTCTATGGGAACCGGCCTCACAGCCTGGACCCGGGCAGCCTCCTTTCCTCAGGCCAGTAAATGTACCAGGGCCAGAGCCTCCCAGCGCCCCAGGACCCCAGCGAGACGCAGGCCTCTTTCCACAGAACCGGATGCTTATCGTGAACCACAGTAGAAATCAAGTGAGTTTTCTCTGGAAACACAGGGACCAGGAGCTCTCCGCGCCTTTTCCGAAGCGGTTCCCGCGGGGCCGCCAGGACTGTGAGCAGACGGCACCCCGAGGCCCTGCCTCGCCCCTGCAAGCCGCGGTCCCCCTGCTTGCTCCCGGAGAGCGTTCTGGTGCGCAGGGGTCTGCCAGTGCCCGCTGTTACGGGGTGAACTGCGCACCCCGCACTCCATGTTCAAGTCCCAAATCCCAGCCCTGCAGAATGGGACTGTAGTTGGGTCTTTAGGAGGTGACGGGGTTAAAATGAGGTCACTAGGGTGGGGCCTTCATCCAGTATGACTGGTGTCCTCACGGGAGAGGAGGCGAGGACACAGCCGCACAGAGGAAAGACCACGTGAAGACAAAGGAAGAAGGCAGACAAGCGGAGGGCGGAGGCCTCAGGAGGACCTCCCCTTGACCTTGGACTTGCAGCCCCCAGAGCTGTGGGACAAGGCCTTTCTCTTGTTTAAGCCCCACCAGTCTGTGGCATGTTACTATGGCAGCAAGTACACCCCCAGTCTGCCGTTCGGGGCACCTGAGGGTTTTTTAAGGAGCTGCAGCTGCTTGTGATCCAAAGTACCTCCCTCGGCTCCCGTCCATGAGCCTCGAGCCCGAGGAGGACCTTCTCCTGACCGGGGTCCATGTCACTGCCCCCCAAGGCCCTTCGAAAGGGGAGCCGGACCCTGGGTGTTCTCAACAGTTCCGTGAGCTGAAGCTCATCTGCACTTGGGTTTCCAGAAGAGAGCGTTTTCTGATTCTCTTGGTTGAAAGGACAATGTTTGATTCATCGCCAGTTAGGATGAGCCTGAGCCACCCGAGCTTGGCGCAGTGTCCGAAGGCTGATGAGAAAACACTTCTCTACCCTTCACGCTGGCTTTCCCTCCCCTCGCATATCTGTTTCTTCTGCGGGCCACACTGACCTCACCGGGCCCTGCTGAGCCACCGCCCGACTGCAGACGGATGAGGAGGAAGGCCGCTGTCGCCTGACCAGCCTGATGGCTGGTTCCCGGACTTTGGGACTGCGGCGATGTCTGACCCTGACCGCACTGTGTGTAGAAATGCTCCCTGAGGGCTGCAGCTGCCCCAGCCCTCCCGGCTGGCAAGGCACCCTCTCCCAGAAAGCTAGGGGACACATGCTTGCCCTGGCCGCCCTGGTCCCTCTAACACCTCAGGTCCAGGAGCTCCTCCCAGTGATGGGGTTTAGGAGAACTTCACAGAACCACGGATGTGGGAGGAACCACGGGTGTGGGAGGGCCCTTGAAATCCACATCTTGCTCTCTTGCTGGGCGGGTGAGGAAACAGAGACTCAGCATGACAAACGAAAAGGTCCCAGGGCACTTTGCTGGCAGGGGTCACGCCCCTGTCTCTGTCCTAGGCAGACAGTCCCAATTGCCTGGTGGGCTGGTACACGCCTCTCTCTCTCCCATAATAAAATAGTCCCGACACAGAGTAAGTCAGGAACCAGTACAGTGAGCGGGCGCTGACCCTCGGCTTTAGCAAACGGGAGCACCACCCTCAGCCCCCATGCTGCGGGGGGACCCGCTCCAGGCTGCAGCCCTTCTCCCACAGGGTGGGGGCTCTATGGCGCCCAGGAGACAGGTCTACTCATAGCCTATGCCTGCCCCCACCCCAGGTACTTAAGACCCTAGAAGACCCTGTTCAGTGACCCCCAAGCTGGCATCTGAGGCTAACCTGACTAGCTCCATTCCCCTAAAAGTAGGCCACAGAGCCAGGGTGCACACTCCTACGCCCGTGGGAGTGGCCAAGGGGTGGTTTTCTGCATCGGCTGTGATGTACCCAAGCGCATGTACACGTCCCTTCCTAGTGTAGGACAGAGCTGGGATGGGCAGAGAGGGCGAAATGCACAAGTCAGCTAACTCTTCCCCGAGCCGCCACTTCCTGGCCCCGACCTCCGAAGGGTCTGGGGATCACCAAGCACTGCCATCTTTATGAGGGTGTGTTCACTGAGGCACAGAGCCTTCTGTTAGGTTGAGTTCTAACTTCCACGTACCTAGAGGTACATGCTCTCCACTGTACTCGTGCATCAAGTCCTGCAAATGTCAGGAGTGGGCCTGTTGTGAGAACTACTTCAGATTTTAACAAAACAATAAATCTCAAATATAAGGTCCCTTTATACTCCCCTCTGATTCCATTCTTCTCCCTTCTACTCTAAAAGAGTTAGAAATAATCTTTCATTTATATTTCATACTTTGTTCTATTTGTATGCATTCACATTAATACATAATTATGTTTTAAAACATGTCTAAATGGAATAATTTATTTTATACTTCTAGTTTATCATGTTTTTACTTTGCTCCTTCTTTCCTCCTTTCTTATTTTCTTTGCATTATCTACTCATGTAGAGGACAAGTTAATCTATCTTTTCCGTCTGGACACTTTTATAAATCCCTTTGTCTTTGGTGTTGTACAGTTTCATTGCAACACTTAGTATGAGAAGGTGTAGATTTGTTTTTATATCCTGCTCATCAGTCATTTGGAAAATGTAAATCAAAGAGATAGCACTTAATATCTACTAGAATGGCTATAATAAAAAACAAACAAAAAGCAGAAAATAGCAAACACTGGAGAGAATGTGGAGTTACTGGAGCCCTAGCACATTACTGGTGGTACTGTAAAATGGTGCACCCACTGTTCTTCAGTAAGTTCAGCACGGAGTTACTGTATCAGTTAGAAATTCCACTCCTAGGTACACACCCAAAAGAATTATAAACAGACTCAAACAGATCCATGTACACCATTATCTGAAGCAGCATTATTCACAAGAGCAAAAAAAAAAGAAAAAAGAAACAATCTAGATGTCTATTAACTTATAAACAAAATGTTGTATATTCACACAGTGGAACATTATGCAGCCATGAAAAGGAATGAAGTCTGATATATACTACACATGGATAAACTTGGAAAACATTACGGTCAGTAAAAGAAGCCAAACCCAAAAGGCCATGTATTGCATGATTCCATTTATATGAAATGTTCGAAACAGGCAAATACGTAGAGACAGAAGGAAGAGTAGTGTTTGCCAGGGATTGTAGGGTGAAACTGTGGGGGAGGGGAGTGGGGAGCGACTGCTTAAAGTATTCAAGATTTCCTCTTGGGGAGATGAGCTATGTCCTAGAACTAGACAGTTGTGATGGTTCCACAACACTGTGACTGTACTAAATGCCACCAGACTGTACACTTTAAAATGGTAAATATTATGTTATGTGAATTTTACCATTGTTTTTAAAAAAGAAATTTCAATTAAAAAAACAAAAACAAAAAAGGAGGGAAAAGGCCCTGAATTAAAGTACATTCCCTCCCATCACTGAACTGTTGGTTTATTCTCCAGTGGCAGAGAGACACAAAGGTGGTTTCTTTGAGTTTTTTCTATCCGGGCTTAGCGGGTAGGCTGACCGGGACCCTCAGCTATGGAAGGTGCATGCAACCCAAACTCACCGAGGTACACGCACTCCCGGTGGCTCCCCAATGACAGCGATGAAGCGCTGTCTCACTCGTCTTTACACCGGGCTCCGTTTAGAAGAGAACACGAGGAGGTGGTGTGCTCCTGGCTGAAAAGCTGAGCAGTGTTAAGAAGGAGCAGAGGCCTGTGCTGGGAGGAATCAACTCTTCCGTCCACAGCCCTGTCAGGAGGCTCTTCCCGCAGACCCCGCACGCACCTGCACACGCAGGAGGATGGAGAATACCGCAAAAACTGCAAGTCTGTGTTTACATCTTGTCGGTAGTTACAGCAGGTAGGAATAGTAGCTGACACCCCAGCAAATCCAAAACCCAATAGGTACTTTTGGAAACATGTTTCTAAATAGAATGCTGGCCTGTCTTCAAAATGTACCTCTAATAAGCTCCTCAATAAAAAAAGTTTGTCCAAAATCCCCTTTCCCTCAGGTAAGACCAAATATCTATGCATCTGTCAGAGTGTGGAAATTCGAACAGATTTTTAAGGATCCCTAGAAAATGAGATTTCACAGCCTCAACTAGTAACTTATTTTACTAATTATAATCTAAACTTTAGGGCATGAGAACCTTCGGGATTCACGTACATTTTGGACCTTCCTATGTCTTTGCAGGATCTAAAACTGTACCTTAGTTTAATACACTTTTGTACAGGGCAGGGCAAAAGTAGGTTTACGGTGGTGAGTATGCAAAACACAGTCTATTCTTGTATTATTATTTATTAATTATTGTATTATTTCCCATATGAACAACTGTAAACCAACTTTTGCCCCATCCTGTAATGAGGATCTATACAAAGAAGAAAACAAAATAAAATAGGTTTTCCACCCAAACATTCCAATAAGATAGGAGTCATACCCTGGAGCTCGGAGCCCATCATAAATTCTCTTTTATTCGATGGTAGTAAATTATTCTCCTTTTCCCTTTCTGCCAATCCATTCACAACCCATTAAAAAAATATATATTTTTTTCCTTTATTGATTTTAGAGAGAGAGAAAGATAGACACATCGATGAGAGAGAGCATCGACTGGCCACTTCCTGCATGCCTCC